AGAGGGTCGGGGACCTGGAGGCATTTTCGGTCAGTGACTCGTGCCTGGAATTCGGGCCGGATTACTCTCACGTCATCCTGAGACCCCGCCCCGGTTATGTGCCCAAGGTTCCTACCACCCCCTTTAGAGATCAGGTAGTGAACCTGCAAGCGCTGCCCCCGGAGGAGGCAGACCCAGCCCTTTCTTTAATTTGTCCAGTTCGCGCTCTGCGCATTTATGTGGACTGTACTCAGAATTTTAGATCATCTGAGCAGCTCTTTGTCTGTTATGGCGGTCGGCAGCAGGGAAGTGCCGTATCAAAACAAAGATTATCCCACTGGATTGTGGATGCCATTTCACTCGCTTATTCGAGTCGAGGTCAGCCGTGTCCCCCGGGAGTTCGTGCACACTCCACTCGGAGCGTTGCATCCTCTTGGGCGCGTGCACGCGGCGCCTCTCTAACAGACATCTGTAGAGCTGCGGGCTGGGCGACACCCAACACATTTGCAAGGTTTTACAATCTGCGAGTGGAGCCGGCTTTGGTGATTGAGGAGACAACTCGGTAGGGTGTTGAAACACGCTTGCGGCGCCATTCTCCCTAACACGGAGGTACGTGCGCCTTTTTTATCTGTCAGTAAAGTTCCCCGTCAGGTGAGCCCTGCAGATTCCTCCGTGGCCCCCAGCACTGACTCAGCGGAGGAGTCACTTGCTGGCCCACTACGTTGTAGGTTAGCCCGCTGGTCAGCCCACGTTTTGGGTATAGGTGCCTGCTATGCGTGATCCCCACTAGGCGATCCCATATGCTTATTCCGCCACGGTTAAGTCCCCCCCCTGGGCGGACCCGTGTCTTCCCTCTCCGCTAACCACTCTTTTGCTATGCGTACTCCCCCTTTTTAGGGCTAGTCCATAGGTAAATTCTGCCATCTATCCCCCCCTTGGGTAACGGATGGCCTCCGCAGCGTCCTCCCTATCGGGATTGCACGCTTCCCAACGTACTGTCGTATTTCCTAGAATTATCTATATGCTCACGACTTCCCAAAAAATATATCTAAATCCGTAAAACTTCTGTTGAAGTAGGATAAATTAGGGCCAGGGACACGTTGGAGGACCGCGCCCCCCATGATGTGGGTGCGTCACGCTTGCTTGACTATCTCCTCATCGGGGGTGTTGGTAAGGTGCAGTCATTATGGCGCTTTCCATATTCTCCCATTCATGGCACTGAAGTTCCCCAACCGAAGGGGAACGTTCGAGGTTACAGAAGTAACCCTTCGTTCCCCGAGGAGGGGAACGGAAGTGCCATATTCCGTCGCCATAATGACTGTCCCTTAGCTGTTTGAAAGTCTCTTCAGCTTAAAAGGATGGCGTCTGCTGGCTTCAGGTGTGCTTATATGCTGAGATAATTGCAGATGTCGCACACCTGCGCAAGCTTACGCTGCCAATTAATTTCATTCATTGGCCCGTTCAATACTCTCCAGATAAGCGGCTTCTGATCCGAATCCTCCCATTCATGGCACTTCCGTTCCCCTCCTCGGGGAACGAAGGGTTACTTCTGTAACCTCGAACGTTTTAAATGCTACAAACACAAGGAAATTTTCAAAGTATGTCTGATAATGTTATTTCTGCTAGAATAAAAGCTGGTTCTAATTTTCTAAAAACCAAAACGTATACCTTGTTTTTGTTTTTAATTTTCAACCAAAGATGCTTTTTCCATATTTTAAGGCGTGAAAACTAGTTTAGACCTATTGAATTATAGCTTTCCGTGTATCATAATTGATGTCTTGAATTACCCATTTCATCTCCATATTATACTTCATATCAGACTAAAAATAAATTTGAATGTAATATAATTCAACCATTTTGTGTGCAAAAATCCATAAACTCCATACACACTGACTTTAAGAGCATCTATTAAACAGCTAAAAACAGCTTGAGATTTACTCGCTTATGCTAACATTCATTCATTCATCCATGTTTTAATGCCATATCAGCAGCATTATCTACATTTTTGGCAACAGTTTTTTAAATAAACAAGAATCAAACAAACTTATAAAATACAGACACCAAATAAAAAAGGTCATATATTTAAAATCTTTCAACTTAATCAGTGATGGTTTACAAATATATATTAAAATATACGTTTTATAGGGGTGGCATGGTGGCTCAGTGGTTAGCACTGTTGCCTCACAGCAAGAATGATGCGGGTTCGAGTCCCGGCAGGGTCAGTTGGCATTTCTGTGTGGAGTTTGCATGTTCTACCCATGTTGCTGTGGGTTTCCTCTTGGTGCTCTCTGGTGTGTGAATGAGAGTGTATGGGTGTTTCCTAGTACTGGGTTGCAGCTGAAAGGGCTTCCTCTGCGTAAAACAAATGTTGGAATAGTTGGCGGTTCATTCCACTGTGGCGACCCCTGATAGATAAGGCACTAAGCTAAAAGAAAATGAATGAATAAATGAATGAATAAACGTTTTATAGTTGAAATATTCTTAAACAAGCTACAAATTGGGCGAGCCAGTGGCGCAGTAGGTAGTGCTGACGCCTCACAGCAAGAAGGTCGCTGGTTCGAACCTCGGCTCAGTTGGCGTTTCTGTGTGGAGTTTGCATGTTCTCACTGCCTTCGCGTGGGTTTACTACGGGTGCTCTAGTTTCCCCCACAGTCCAAAGACATGCGGTACAGGTGAATTGGGTAGGCTAAAATTGACTGTAGTGTATGAGTGTGTGAGTGAATGTGCGTGTGGATGTTTCTCAGAGATGGGTTGTGGCTGGAAGGGCATCCACTGCGTAAAAACTTGCTGGATAAGTTGGCGGTTCATTCCGCTGTGGCGACCCCAGATTAATTAAAGGACTAAGCCGACAAGAAAATGAATGAATGAATGAACCTACAAATTGGTCCGCTTTAAATAAATATAAGTGAATTTATCATTCATCACCACAAATGAACAATAGTGTCCTCAACTTCTCTTCTCTAAAACAAAAACAATCACTCCTCCAAAGATTCTTTCGTAGCTCCAGCCAATTTATATCCATCTTGTGTGAGTATCTACCAAATGTAGTGTTGAAGGTCACGCTCCTGAAACCTGAAATACAGGAACATTCAGCCTCTGGGAATCTTTCCTGCGGGATTTTTTGGCCCTGACGTTTTACTCAGTTAAAGACAGGAGGAGCTCATTAAAGCACAGTCTGTCCGTCTCCTCGGTGGAGAAATCTGACTCTGGCATTGGAGGTCAGCGTCTCCAGAGTTTTTGACTGTTTTAATTACTGATGTGACAGGTTAGAGTTTCTGAGAGCCTGTTAGCCATGATGACAGTGAATAATATTTGACTAGATGTTTTTCAAGACACTTCTATACAGCTTAAAGTGACATTTAAAGGTTTAACTGGGTTAATTAGGCAAGTTAGGGTAATTAGGCAAATCAGCTTATAACAGTGTTCTGTAGACAATAAAAAAATACCTTTAAATAGTTTGAATTTTTTTAAAACTGCTGTCATTCCAGCCAAAATAAAACAAATCAGACTTTCTCCAGAAAAAATAATATTATAGGAAATACTGTGAAAAATTCCTTGCTCTGTTAAACATCATTTGGGAAATATTTGAAAAGAAGAAAAAAAAAAAGTAACTTCCTCTGCTTCACGAGTTTTTGAACTCCTGGATGTACTATACATTTAGCTTAAAAAATTGTTTTCTCACCAAGAATTTTTTAAATAAATAAGTTATATATATTTATATATTTTTAATTATATATATTTAATTTATTTTTAATAAATTATTCATCCCACAAAATGTTTAGTTTTTTGCCATAAAACTTAAATATACTTAAATATTAAACTTAAATTAACTATATTTACAATAAAATACTGCAAAAGGAATACATAAAACTCAAGATACATTTCGTAATAGTAATAATATTGAATAATATTTAATATTTTTGTCCAACTCTTTGTTGAATAATACACTAAAGATTTTTGGATTCTTGGATACACTGTATGTTTAGCATTAGATTATTTTCACCCAAAAGAAATTGTAAATACTTTCCTCCAAAAATAACCCCCACAGTCCATAGCCATACTGCACTTTTGGAGTTCTTGTCTTGTTTATAGTCCATACATCTAAAATTCTAAGGCGAATCATATCGTTTCATTCATTTTCTATCGTTTTTCTGGGGCCGGGTCGCAGGGGCAGCAGTCTTAGGAGAGAACTCCAGACTTCCCTCTCCCCAGACACTTCCTTCAGCTCCTCTGGGGGGATCCTGAGCCGTTCCCAGGCCAGCCGAGAGACATAGTCCCTCCAGCTTGTCCTGGGTCTTCCCGAGGACTCCTCCCTGTGGGACATGCCTGGAACACTTCCCTAGGTGTCCAGAAGGCATCCGAAAAAGATTCCTGAGTCACCTCAGCTGACTTCTCTTGATGTGGAGGAGCAGCAACTCCACTCCGAGCACCTCCCGGGTGGGAGAGCTCCTCACACTTGCTTAATTGTTTTCTTTTCCAAATAAGTCAAAATTAAGTGAGTTTATTTCTTAAAGCAAGCAAAATAATCTGTAAGAGGAGGTTTATTTGTTTAAAGGTTTATTTCTGAAAACAAGAGCATATATTTTACTTGTCTAGAAAATGTTACTTGATTTAAGAATTTGTAAGATATTTGGACTATAAACAAGACTAAAACTGGTCACACTTTAAAATAACGGTCCATTAGTTAATGTATAGGCTAACATGAACATAATTAGTAATACATTTATTACTGTTTTTAATTATGTTGGCTAATGTTAGGTAATGTTATTCAAGTTAAATAATGTTAGTTTGTTAGCTCACAGTGCATTAACTAATGTTCACAAGCACAACTTTGGATTATAATAATGCATTGGTTAATGTTAAACTATGATTCATTAAGACTTTACAAGATTATTCATACTTAGTTAGTGTTAGAAAATACATTAGCTAATATTTACTAATAAAACCTTATTGGAAAGTGTTAGCCAAAAACTCAATGGTTTATTTTGCAGTGCATGAATAGGTGTGCAGAAAGATCATACCAGATCAGTGCTGCCCTCTTCATCGTAGTCATCCTCTCCTCCATCCGTCATTTCTCCAGCCTCGGCGTCCAGCACTCCGTCTCCTCCCTCTTCTCCAGAGTTTTCTGCTGCTTCTGATATCGAACCCTCATGCAGAGAGTCACAGTTATCTTCGTATTTCCTATGAGGCTCTGAGACAATGGAAGATATGCAACCATTTATATTCACGAATATTAGTTCAATTTCAGTTTAAAAATGTTTTTTTCTCTAATGTTTTTTACCCAAAGATTTAGTTTTTTTTCTGTCAAAAATGCTTTTCTCTTTCCCAAAAATAGTTTCTAACAAATTTTTGGAACTCCTACATTTCCACCCATTCATTCAATTTCTTTTTGGCTTAGTCCCTTTATTAATCAGGAGTCGCCACAGTGGAATGAACCGCTAACTTATCCAACATATGTTTTATGCAGCGGTTACCCTTCCAGCTGCAACCCAGCACTGGGAAACACCCAGACACTCTACTTCACACACATTCACTACGGCCAATTTAGCTTACTCAATTTACATATAGTGCATGTCTTTGTACTGTGGAGGGAACCGGAGGAAACCCATGCCAACATGGGGAGAACATTCAAACTCCACACAGAAATGCCAACTGACCCAGCCAGGGCTCGAACCAGTGACCTTCTTGCTATGAGGCAATCTTGCTACTCACTGCGCCATCGTGACGCCCCACTTATGTGCATGAACAAATTATTTTATTCCTCCAAAATTAATTTTTCCACCCCAAAATGTTTTTAATCTCCAAAAATGTTAATATTTTTTCCTAAAAACATTTTTCACCCCAACATGTTTTTAAACTAACAACTTTCACCCCTAAAATTTCCCACTAAACATGTTTATTTTCTGTATTAATAAACTGTAGTAGTAATAGATTCTGTAACACCCCAAAAATGTTTTCCTTGTTTTTTTTCTACAAAAAAATTATTCATTTCACCCTAAAATGTATTTGTTTTCTCTTTACAGACAAAATGTTTTGTTTTTTTTTCCAATAAAAGTTTTTACATTTTTTTTTATAAACATCAGTATTAATGGAGGAAACTATTTTTGTTGTTCATAAATATTGGTAATAATTGAGAAAACTATTTCTGTTCATCCAAAAGAACCCCCCTTACAATTTTTTGCTGTTATTTATTTATTTTTTTAAACAACTCTCTTCTCAACAATTTTATGTTTTCACACATTTTTCCCCTTTAGAATATTTTTTTTAAACTCAAAAATAATTTGCTTATTTTTTTTCTGCAGTGATATTCCTGCATGTTTTCTTTTATTCTTTTATTCATTTTCCTTTGACTTAGTCTCTATTTCACAGGTCACCACAACTGAATAATTCACCAACTATTCCAGCATACACTCTATGCAGCGGATGCCCTTTCGGTACAACCCAGTACTGGGAAACACCCATACCCTTTCATTCACACACACGCATACACTATGGCCAATCATGTTTACTCAATTCACCTATAGTGCATGTCTTTGGACTGTGGAGGAAACCAGAGCACCTGGAGGAAACCCACACAAACACGAGCCTAACATTCAAACTCCACACAGAAATGCCAATTGGTCTAGTCGGTGACAGTGGTAACCACTAAGCCACTATTCCGCCCATTATTTTCTTTTTTTAACACCAAAAACTTGTCAAATCATTATGTTTTTCAGTCAAATAATTTTTTTCTTAAAATCCCCTCCCAATCCAAATGCATCCCAAAGGAATGAAAGAAATTAGAAAACAATGTGACTGATTATGTGCAAAAATAAAAATCCCTTTAACCACAAAATATCTACAAATGTAAAAGTTTTTTTTAATATCGACAATTTAGAGACTTAAAAATTTAGATATTAAAATAGAATCAACACTGAAGATTTTTTAAAGACACAAAGCTTTCTATTGACAGGAGGGTGAATAAATGATGCAAGAAGTGTAATTTCGGAATATTTGAATCGGCATGCCTCAAGCATACCCAACAGAGGTAAAGTTTACCGTTCTGCTATTCCTCAGTGAGTCTACAAGATGAAAACACTGCTCTCATCTGCTGTCCAGCAAAGCCAAATGGGATTTGCTATAGTAAAACAGCACAAGATTGCCTTTATAAAACTCATGACAAATTGTCTGCCGTCTCCTGTCCTGTCACAGAGATGAATAGTGTACACACAACCCCAATATCGTCTCCTAACCTGGCGCTGTTTGCTGGACTGGCTTTTGTTTCTGTTTTCTGTGTCTATGTGTTTGTGTGTGTGTGTGTGTGTGTGTGAATAAGTGTGTATGGGTGTTTCCCAGTACTGGGTTGCAGCTGGAAGGGCATTCACTGTGTAAAACATATGCTGGAATAGTTGGCGGTTCATTCCACTGTGGTGACCCATGATAAATATTGACTAAGCTGAAGGAAAATAAATGAATGAATCTGGCATACAGCATAAAAAATTCAGTAGCTATTTGTGATAGCCCGACAGTAACAAATAAATAAATAATAAATGTTTTATTATGAAATTAGAAATAATTAGGTGAAGATAATTTCTTAGTTAATTCCTAATAACACATTAAAATCAAATGTCATTATAGTTTAATTAAATGTAATTAATAAAAAAAATTCAGTTTCTTTTAATTTATCTTACACCTATCATAAGGCTTTTTCTCATTGTTGATTTTAATCCATCAACCAGTGTTTACTAAAGTATGACTTAATTGTAAAGTGTTAAGTATTGCATTTTTATCATCCCTTTACAGATAATTTTAGATGAAACATTTGTTTCTGTATATGAACATGTACATTTGAGGGCAAAATTATTAAATGTTGGTTTCTTTCAATTTTTTTCATAAATGTTTCTTTAACAGAGCAATGGATTTTTTCACAGTATTTCCTATAATATTTTCTTCTTCTGAAATTTATTTGTTTTATTCCGGGTAGAATGAAAGCAGTTTTATATTTTAAAAACAATTTTAAAGTCAATATTAGCCCTCTAAAGCAATATTTTTTTTTTAATTGTCCACAGAACAAACCATCATTATACAATGACTTGCCTAATTACCCTAACATGCCTAATTAACCTAGTGTTGGAATAATTAATCTATGTGTGTTCAATAAAAAAGGTCAGGAGAGGTTTTTTTTTTCAATGTCAAAAATGTTAGTAATTTATTAGATACGTCAGTCAGTCAGCATGTCACCTTAAAGGATTAAACAAATAATGCACAGCACTACTACGATTACAGAAAAGTTTGTGCTGTTATAATTCACTTACTTTTTAATATGTTTTGGTGTGATTATAACCCACTATTAAAAAACAAGGACTGAATGTTTTGAATGAGAAGCTGTAATGTTAATGTAGCCGTGGCAGAATGAATTTTGGTGTGGCGCCCTGCCATGGAAGAATAAATGTAGCAGAAACTGTATATTCAAAACCAATATATTCACTATTTATCGTCATTAGACCAGTAAAAGTAATCTTTAGGTTCTTTAACTCAGGTCAATAAAAATGATAAATGCTTCAGCAATTAATCGCAACAAGAAATCATGTTGCAAAAAGCTTAGTCTCACCACATTCAGATCTCTGCTGCTTCTCGATCTTCTCCAAGCGGCCCAGAAGAGAGTCAATCTTCATCTTGATCTGCGTCAGCTCACGTTTGATGGTCTGAAGTTGATCTGACTTCACTGCAATAAACACAGACACACACATTAGACAAGCTGACGGTTTGTCTGTGCTCAGTGTGTTTTTATATAATCTCAGATATAAGTATGATATAAAAAAAAATAAAAAATCGGACATTTTGAACATTTGTTTTCATATATATAAATATAACTACTAACTCATTTAATGAATCACTCACAAAATCACTCTCTTACTCAATAATTAACTCACTCACTGAAATATAATTTTTGTAGCAATAGATCAAGTCTGCAAACATGTCAGTTCTAGTCCAGTGCCAGAAAAATGACCCAGTGTGTTTACAGTCCTACATTATCACTGTGCTGATGAGCAAGACACTGAACCTCTGCTCACCCTGAAAGGCTCTCTCCACAATTAATGCACCGCGTCAGATGCAATGAAAAGCCTCTGCTCAGTGCCTGCTAGCTTAATTCATGCTGCTAATTTCTGTAAACATGGAGTGCTTTTAATATGCCCGCTGCTTTTTTCCCTTTCTGACAGCTGTCAGATTAATCTCCCTCAGATGAGCACACCATCGAACGCACACTGCATCTAACAAACACACATTTTCTGGGCAAACCACAATGACCTTGGTGCTAAATGAAAACCCATAGGCTGGAAAAATGGCCAAATAATCCAGGACTTGTTCAAAACATGGAAGTATTTCAAAGCTCTTTAGTCTAAGCGATATACAGTATATATTTGCTATTGTCATGTGGTTTCAGATCAGACCAAAACGCCATTATCAGATATAGATCTGTGATTTATACAGAAGGAGAAATTATTTATGCATTATGCAGTTGATATCTTTCTAAATGAATTAAATTGGTTATTCAAATGATTCATTCAAAACTGCAGATTCTTTAACAAAGTAAAGAGCTTTCTTTAATAATGCATCAGCAAATCATTCAAAGAATATACCAAAACACGTTCTCTTTATGGGTGAGCCATTGTACAATTAACAATGTTGGGTAGCATGGTGGCACAGTGGTGTATATATATATATATATATATATATATATATATATATATATATATATATATATATATATTCCCCAACACATTTCTAATCATAATAGTTTTAATAATTCATTTCTAATAACTGATTTATTTTATCTTTGCCATGATGACAGTAAATAATATTTGATTAATTTTTTTTCAAGCCACTTCTATACAGCTTAAAGTGACTTTTAAAGGCTTAACTAAGTTAATTAGGTTAACTAGGTGGGTTAGGGTAATTAGGCAAGTTATTGTATAACAATGGTTTGTTCTGTAGACTATCGAAAAAAAAAAACACATTCTTTCTCCAGAAGAAAAAAATATTATCAGACATACTGTAAAAACATATTTGCTCTGTTAAACATCAGTTGAGAAATTTTTAAAAAAGAAAAAAAAATTATTCTGACTTCAACTGTATATTAGGGCTGGACAATATGAAACGTTTTTACATTGCGCTATTTTTTTCTCTCTGCAATATAATTTCACAATTTGACCTAAATAGCTCAATTTGCAAAGTCGTTATTTGGGATGATATTGTAGGGGAGTGAAATCTAAAAATATTTTGTATGTAATTCATTATATACATTAACTACAGTCATAAATAAACACAATTGAGCAAATATACACGGTTTCACTGTATTAGATTTACTGCGCTAAAATATATTATATATTAAAATATATTATATATATATAAAATATAATATACATTTTAAAATGTCTGGGTAAAAAATAAAAAAATAAAAATTATATATATATATATATATATATATATATATATATATATATATATATATATATATATATATATATATATATATATATATATATATGTGTGTGTGTGTGTATGTGTGTGTGTGTGTGTGTGTTATTTTGAGAAACATTTAAAATACTTTTGAAAAGTAAACATGTCAGGCTAAATTTCACTTCATTTGATTCAAAAACAGCTTTTTTTTTTTTTTACAATTTAAACAGCATCTTTAGAAATCTTTTCTGAAGATACTGCTGTCCTAAAAAAACAAACAACCAAAAAAATGTAAATAATTTTTTTACACATATAGGAAGCGTATAGCAGAAAGGTTTGACGGTTATAAAACCTTGACTTTTCCAAACCGCGGTATACCTTGAAAACGGTTATCGTCCCATGCCTAGTCTCCACAAATCTTGTGTGTTTTGACCTGTGGTTTCTGGCCATCTAATCCTAACTCAACATTGCATGTGTTGCGATGTGACTATTGCAAACACACACATTGTGATATCGATGCTCAAACGATATATTGAGCAGCCCTATATTTGCTTATTTACTCAAATACTAAAGAACAGACTTACTTTATGATTGAATAAATACACTGAATGCAATTCTACCAAAAATCCTAATTAACTCATAAATACAAAAGACTCAATAATTTACAAAACACTGAATCATTCAGAAACTGGAACAATTTTCCTCGACCAAATGCAAAAACTGACAAAAACAAAATTGCTTCTGAAAAGTTATTGCAATGAAAAGTTGTCTGAAAATGTAGCGCAGACAACCAGACAACTATGAAAACCCTACGGAGCAACCTCTTGACACAGAAAGACCTGTTTCTTCATGATAATTGGAGCTGCAGGACACGTATAAACGCTTTGTTGAAAAATTCATTAGCCTGTGTTCTCCGGTATTTTCCAAGCTGCTGATAGCTGAAGCTTGTCGTTTTGCCGTCACCGCCTTCAGCTCTGATAACACAGCGTGACCTAGCACTGCTGTCAAAGCGCTGCCAGCTTTTCCACTACCGCACAAAATGGTGTCACCTGCCATCAGCCGCCCGAGGCAGAAAGCTCTGCATGTGTAGGTGTTTAGTTGACGGAGCGTCGTATCTACTGAAATTCAATGCAAGCGTTTTAATTGCACCAATGCTCCACATGCAACACATGTTCAAAAATCGCCTGCGAATGAGAGTTTTCACTTGCAGAAGCTATGAAACACAAGATAACTGAGCATCACTGACAGCAAACGTAATGTTTTATCGCTTGTTTTAAGGTGTTGACTATATAAATCGTTTAGAGGATGTGTGTGATGGCGTGCAGTACATGAACTGCAGCGGATAATGATACAAAACCTGTTTTTCCACGATTTAGGTTTTGAATTGAATGTAAAGGAATGTCAAGGAGCGATAGCACAGTATTGTTGTGAATTTTGTTCTCTATAATTTTTCAATATCATTAAAATGTTTTTTTTTTGTAGATGCTGGGAAAATAAGTGATCAACAAAAACAACTAAAATACATCAACAATAAAATCAACTATAAACAAGGCAGATTTTAACCAAAGAATGTAAATATTATCAGATCATAAACACGTTAGAACTTTATTTACATTATGGTGTCATACAACGAAATTAGTTTAGTCGCTTTTACATACCAGAAGCAATAAGAAATATAGAATAAAAATAAAAAAATCTTCAAGAGAAATTGAAAATTGGCTCATTTTATGTTTTTTTTGCCATTATTTCCCACAATGCCCAGCAACTTAAAGGTGCAGTATGTACGTTTTACAGTCATGTTGTAAATAAAAGCACTGGTATGCGAAAGAATGAATATTTTTATCCTAACCAACACCTTGAATTTATATTTTAGAAACGACTTCTATTTCTTGCAGCTGAACAACAGGATAAACTGACAATGATCACCCCAGGTACACCTCATGTGCTTTATTCAGTGTTTAATACTAATAATGTGAGTTTAAATGGCATTTTACATGACATTTATTGCCGAGTACTGAAAGAAGCAGCAGATAGTTCACCTCAGATACTGAAAATAAAATAAACTGTTTGAAATTGAACTTTAGAACTGTGACTCAGTGCAAGCCAACACATATCAGTGATTCAGCATCTACATTTTATGATGTTAAAGAGGTTTAATATGTATTAAATAGATTATAAACCTTAGCATTTTGTTGGAGTGCAGCAATATAGGCACTATTCTGCGCTTCTGAATGGCTGTATTTAAATTTCTGTCATGTTTCGTCTGATGCAAACAGCCAATTTGCTTATCACTGCAAATCTCGTCATGTAGCGTGTTGTTAGGATATGGGGCTAGAATGTAATCTGCTCACCTTATGCTTACATTTGTAATTTTATATTATTTGCTAATTAACAACCACCTAATGTGGAACTCTGAGTATGATTTTGGATTCTGCTATGCGGACAATCGCACCCAAGCACGGTTCAAGGCAATGTGAGCAGAGTGAGTACGCCCATAAACATCTTTGCAATTAATTAAAAATATATATTTAAATAATCCTGGACCAGGCCGTATCCTGAGCAGATGCTATGGTGGTTGTGGAGGAGTGAAGAGCATGAGACTGATTTCTGAAAGACAAGTCTCAGCATTGATCCTGTGTGCCAGCCTAAACCCCCGCCAGTGACCTACTCACACCAGCAGCTGTGATAGACGTCCTGCGTTGTCCAGCCTCCGGTGCCTAGACTGCAGCTCTGCACAAGTTTGGTCTGAGTCGTGCCCAACTGAACCTAGTTTCTCTTGTTTTTTTCTTTTTCTTTCACTTTTGTCAATTGTTGAAGTTTTGTTCCTCTCCACTGTCATCACTGGCTTGCTTGGTTTGGGATTTGTGGAGTTGCGCATCGATAGATTTGCTCTTCAGTGTTTGGACTTTCAGCAGTGAAAATTTGCTCGACTCTGCAGTTCTCATTTCATTTCAGGTAAGTTCCCGCTATGCTGAATCATACACTTTCCTCATTTTTGATTGCACCAATGATTTTAGCAAAAAACAGTTATATATGGTTAATTGAACTGCGGACACTGAATTCTTAGAATGTAAGTTTACATACCCTGGCATACAGGTGCAGTTCACTGTCAAAATGCAGTTGTTTGTTTGTTGATGATTACCCAGGCCTTTTACAGTTCCGTCTTCTTTCCTTGTCTTTGGCTAAGCAGAACCTAGGTTTTTAGCACTACAAAGTTTTGAATCTGGTAATCATGGAACATTATTTCTTGCACATGACCACACCGAACAAAATTGCGGGCATCCAAAGACTTGTAGGCCTTTGATATCTTTTTTGTAAAATCACTTTTAATGAAATGGTTGTATATTTCGGGCTGGATGCTCTCATCCAATATCCATTGAGAGGGTGCTATCGCAAATGAACGTGTCAGACGAACGCCGCTCACTTTAAAGTTATTTTGGCAGAATAACTGTGCTTATTACTGGGTGACAAGCTATTATAATACACTAAAAGCATCATGTAAATTATATATATATACGTATATATAAATATATATGTATATAAATATATATGTGTATATATAAATATATATGTATGTATATATATATATATATATATATATATATATATATATATATATACATACATATATATTTATACAACAGTTCTGTCTGGTTCTCAAATCTGATTGGTTGACAGCCGTGTGATATTCTGCAATATCAGAACTCCTACAGCCTCTTAACCCTTTGTGTATTACTCCGCCCACATACAGCCAGCAAAGAGCAGACACTACAGATCTAAAGTTTAAAAGATGCACGCTCAGCTGTTTAACTGTCAGCTTATGATTTGAATCCAAGGTGGAAGAAAGTAGTTCCTCATAATAAAGGGTTTTTGAGACTCTCCATGTTTGATTTTGTTTTTATATACACAATTATGCCGTCAAACTGTTGTATAAACGCAAAATCACACTCGTAGCAGTGCAATATGGCTGTATATCGACACTGGTGGTGGCACTAAGGCACTCGGCCTTGTGCCAACGCACGCCTCCCACCAGTGCTGATATACAGCCATATCACACTGCTACTCGTGTGATATTGCTCATATATATAACATGTAATCAATATAACTTATTTCTAATACAAACAAACTCTGTACCTCATCTGATGTCATTCCCTCGCTATAAATGCTAGCGCTCACGTTTTTTTTCCTGCAACCTCAATGCGCACGCATCCTAAATGTTTACAAAAAAATTTAGCAATCACTCCAACGAAATGCAGATTAAGGTAAACAGTGGCACTTTTGTGTACATGCCATGGATATTTTAGCATGTGAACTGCAGTGATATAAGAAAAGCCCCCGGAGAGACCACAGCACTACAGCTAAGAGCATTAGTGTCATGCACCACGGCTAATCTCAGCTCCGGAGCGCCGTGCTAGCAGGAGATGACGGGACGCTGACAGATGCGCTCAAAGCTGCTACTTGTGGGTTTGAGATAAAAATCGGAATTAGTGTTATGAATTCTAATTTACAAACACGACTGCGTGATGCTCTGTCTTGGCGTTTGCCCCACATCCCATTCAAATTTAACAGAGCATTTCAGATTGCTGGAAGACTGGCTTTGATCTCTGCTGATGAGAATCAATACGTTCTTGCTTATTTTGCTCCCGTGAAATAGGAAAAAGACTTATTTTTACTTTGTGAAAGCAGTTACTGACAAACTTGTTTCAGATGTGCCGTATAATCAATCAGCAGTTGGCAGAGAGAAATAAAGTGCATGGACATCATACAGTGTGTCAATGGCAGAGGTCAGACAGTTACTGGTGGAGAATGCACTGTGGATGAGTAGGAGAGATCTCTGCTACTTGCGCTGTATTCATCTTTTGGCACAGTGAATGAATGTATGTCATTGAACTATTCAAGTGGCACATATTATATATTTCTTTTGATCACCTGAATGCACTCTTGTGGCTAATTTCCTTTCAAAAAAGTCAGCAAAACTTCTGAAGGATAACGTATGGGTCAAAAGAAACATTTTCAAGCATCAAATAAATAAAAAAACAGTATGATGTAGCTTTAAAAACAATTTCATTCTGTAGAATGTGTCCTGTTAAAATTATCTTAAAGGGTTATGCGCATACAATTAACAATTAACAAATGGCACAGAAATCATCTAGATGTATATATAATTTTACTCTTTACGTAATTTCTCACTTACTTTATTTCTGTTCTTTTGTGTCAGTATGCTTCTGTAAACTACAAAAAATGTCTTGTATGTTGGTAAAATTAGCTCATTCATACAATATAAGATAATCGAATCGAATCTAATCTAATCTAATCTAATCTAATCTAATATAATATAATATGGTAAAATATAATATAATATAATATAATTTAATAAAATATAATATAATATAAAACAATATAATATAATATAAAATAATTAAATATAATATAATATAAAACAATATAATATAATATGATATAATAATATTAAACAATATATTATAATATAATATAAAATGATATAATATAATATAATATAATAATTTAAGATAATATAAAACAATATAATAATTTAATATAATATAAAACAATATAATATAATATAATATAATATAATATAATAATATAAAACAATATATTATAATATAACATGATATAATATAATATAATATAATATAATATAATATAATATAACATAATATAATATAATATAACATAATATAACATAACACGACAAGACACGACATAATATAGTATAATATAATAATTTGCTATAATATAATATAACATAACATATTATAATATAACAAGACCTATAACAATATAATAAAATATAACATAATGTAACATAACATAATATAATAAAATATAACACTATAAATTACTATAATATAATATAATATAATATAATATAATATAATATAATATAATATAATATAATATAATATAATATAATATAATATAATATAATATAATATAATAATAATAATAATATAATAGGGCAATTCCATGCAAATGTCAACCTGGTCATAAAAAATAATGCAGTTTTCACCAAAATAGAGAAACCGTTTCTACATTTTTTGTGTTAGTGAGTTTTTTGCAGTACTTTAAAAATACTCGTAAAGGTATCTGTCAGTATTTCAAACTATTATATTTAATTTGCCAAAATCACACAAGTGGCAATTTCACAGCTGTCACATCCATAACGGAGATGTGTCACATCCATAACAACACTTTTTCTTCATAAATGCTAAAATGTCAAATAAAATAAAATCAATCATTTTAATTCTATAGTGAGCCGACTCATACCTGTTTGATGAGCATTGTGTCTCTTGGGTTGTGCAGTTTAACTATCAGAATTTCTAAATAATCTGTTGTCGACTGTAAATTCGCAAACTTTTTTTGTCACATCCATAACGCATGTTTATTTTCATAATTTAAAATATAAAACATGTTTACATATTGATATTTTTCTGCTCCCAGAACTCTGTGGTGAACTGTTTTTGAAAATATAAACAGAAGTTTCGATATAATGTCAACATATACTTTCTGTGTGAAATTATGTTTTGAGTTTTTACTGCAAATGTCACATCCATAACGCTGGAATTGCTCAATATAATATAATATAATATAATGTAAAATAATATAATATAATATAATATAATATAATATAATATAACCATCTGTACATTTGAGAGAGTCTTACATTTCAGCCCGGAGGAGAAGGACGACGATGACGATGGGGGTCTTGAGGAAGAAGAGGAGGAGGATTTCATAGGGAAGGAGCTTTTTCCGCGACGAGTGGACGGAAGAACAACTCGTGAGCGTTTCAGAGGAATCACTGCCCTCGGTGGAAGAGCCACCCGTCCATGATAATCAAAGAGCCTAACCAGCAAAAAACAAGAGGTGCAGAGTTAAAAACAGATGCCGAAACATCACGAACACTCAAAACCTTTTTTCAATCTGGAAAATATTTCTGGTTCCTGGTTTCCCTATTAGCAGAGCTGCTTTTGAAATTAGTCATTAAAGCAGGCATGATTTCTTAAAAGAGTTCGCAGAAAAGAAGAGGAGGTATAAGAAAATGTCAAACAAAGCAACATGCGCTTGCCCTGCCATCAATCTCTCTTGAATATCCACAACTCTCCACTTCACTGACATTTAGCAAATGTCTCTGCTAAAAAGAAGTAAATGAGCGACATAAAGTAGGGCTAAAAAAAATTCAACACGAGCTTCATTTACTCAATGCTAATGGATTTTTTGCCCTGAATAGTCTCTTCTTTCTTTCAATTCATATCAAGGACAAACTGTGGGTGTTTAAGATAAAAAGTAATGAAATTCTATGAATGCCACATTTAATTAATCACTTTCATTCTGTAGCTTTGCATGCATCTTTTCATCGGCATTTGAAAGGGCTTAATATAATACATGCTATTTGAAATCGAAACCATGAAAGACCGTGTGCAAATTACTGTTTAAAGACTTGGGATTTTCACGTGTTTAACAACTCCAAATAAATGCATACAGACCTGTTGTAGAAATCTTCCCTGTAGTAATCATAATCAAATTCATAACCACTGAAAAAGACAAAACAAAAAGTGGGAATTAATTAAAGAAGGATTCTTTTGTGCATTAAGAAACAACAAAAGTTTTGTACATTAGGTGTCCTGTTGCATTTTACTTTTCTAAGCAAAATAAATGACCATAATGCAGTTTTATCACAATTTACAGAAGATTCATACTAAAATTCCATTCAGGGTTACAATGATTTATATTTCACAACATCTCAAATTTAGAAGGAGAAATATTTTAAAAGACTTAAGAATCACAGTGCAGAAACAAAATACTATATAGTTTTATTACACGGCTTCCTGAATGCTCGTTTCTGATTGGTCAGTCATTATATTCCAAGGTATGTTATTCCCAGTTAACAACCTCTACATAACAGAGGCTCATCTGTGAATATGAATCACCTTGACCATCAGTCAATAGCCAAATCCTATTTTTGTACCCCTACCCCTTCTCCTTTGCCCTTGAAACAGTGTGAAGGGGAAGGGCTCCAAAATTTACCCCTAAGAATCTCTTGCTTCATATTAGATCGACGATTGTGACTGCTGTAGTTATTCCAGTAGTTATTTTTTTGGTTTTTATCTCTTGAGGAAATCACAGAAGGCACCGATATCATGTTATTATAATGATATAATGTGGCAATAAGCTCGTAAATGTACTGTGTATTTACACTGTGGCCATATTCTTCAAGGTAAACACACAAAAACATTAACATTATAGCAGACACTGTAAAAAGGTCATTTCCAGCCACTAGACTTTTCGGACAGGGTATTCCAGTGTCATCGAGTGTCAGAATGTTGTGGGACTGCTGTACAGGAGTTATTAGGGATTATAAATAGTGAAATTTTGCGGTTTTTATTTTAGTGTTTTTTTTTAAACATGACGTAAAACACAAACGCCGTTATGAATGTATTAAAATGTGTTTGTTTGTTGTAAAAATTCGTAATAATGACAAAAAAAAAAAAAAAAAAATTTGTGCATTTCTTTACTTCATGTAAGTTGTAGATAGTGTATTCTGGGAAATTTTCTCACCCTTTGGTTTCGAGTGTGGTCCTAAAAAAATCTTCGTTTTAAGGGGTACCTAGCTTTTCACCTTAGCCTCACACCTTCAAGCTAAATAGAATTGGGACACCCCTACAGCTTCATGCGAATGTTCGAAACGAGAGGTAAGAGAAAGGGCTAAGAGGTTAAATTGGGACTGGGCCAATATGTTCAACTTGCAACTTTTTTGACTGATGGGTGCCATCTTGTGACTTAACAATGCGGAAGTTATTGTAATGTTATACTCTTTCAGCTTTGTTCGTCAGTTTTGCATTTAATTAAAGGGTTAATAAACTGTTACCACCCAGAACAATGTTCAACAATGTTCCAGAACAACTACTTCTCATACTTCAGCCTCCACATCAAAGCTCCTGTGAGCAAAAAATCTCAAGATGCTCCAGGATTGGCCTGACCAGTCACCAGATATAAACATTATTGAGCATGTCTGGGGTAAACTGGAGGAGGAGACTTTGAAGATGAGCCGAAAGAATCTTGATGAACTCTGGGAGTCCTGCAACAATGCTTTCTTTGCCATTCCAGATGACTTTATTAATTAGCTATTTGAGTCATTGCAGAAATCTATGAATGCAGTCCTCCAAGCTCATGGGAGTCACTACACCATGACATTATTTCTGTTAAGTGACAAGACTTTTGTCTACACTAAATCAGAACTTACTGTCCTAATTAAATAATAATTTTTATTTAAATTTTTAAAAAAATTAAGGCATGATAATAATTTATTTTGGTAAAAACAAGTGTAATCTAGAGGCCTTTGCCATTCATATAAGCCACTTCTGATACCAAATGATCAACTAGAAGTCAAGTTATTATTTGTCCTTCCTAAAACTTGGATGGGCAACAAGACTTTTGTCAGGTAGTGTATACAATCTACTTTATCCCTTACATAATTTCTTATTTTATATAATTTATTTGTTTTATTTTTAATTTATTTGTTTATTTGTAAAATCTTGTTTTAAATCTTTGATCACTAAAATGCCAATAAAATGTCATTTTTAGCTAACTTAAATCTTTTAAATATATGAATAAAGTCAGACTAAATTATTGGTCACACTGAATAACAATGCAACATTATGCACAATGCAACCACATTCTGACTTTTCTTAAACAAAAGTAATTTGAAATATTAGAACTTTCTTGCATTTAATATGCTTTCGGTTTTTATTAAATGTGATGCACTGTAATTAAAACATATTTAATAATTCATACATTAATAAAATAGAGCAGTCTCTTATACTTTATAAATAACACCAGAACCGACAAGACATTGAACACTAATCGGTTTATTTAAAATGTAAATAACCCGACAGCAGTATGCATTATTTGAACTTTCTGCTGACAGTGAAATCAATGACACTTTCAGCCTTCAGCGATCACCCAGAGCTTTGATAATCACTGTTATGGCAGTAATCAAAGCTACTTACTTTATTAATTACAGTAAGAAACCTCCTGGAGATAGACCGGAGTACTTGTCTCATTGTACAGCCTGACAGTGAGAGTTAGTGTGTGACCCAGACTTGAATTTCAACCAGTAAACTTTGCATGAACCCTTTATAGCAACAGCAGCACCAAACATCTCTTCAGAAAAATTTAATATCCATTGACAAGGCAACAAGGATACTACCTAGGTCATTTTTATTTCATGTAGTGTGGAGTGAAACAGAAAATGAATGAATGTTGTTCTGAAGAAAGGGCTGTACTGAAAATAGATTTCCATTACAAAAAACATCTTGCAAGCCACCGTGCTGCTTAGTTGTACTAGTTAACGCACTTTGAGTAGTCAACATGAACTAACAATGAATGATTTTTTATGATCATTAACTAATGTTAACAACGATGAATAAATACTACAATAATTGCATTTGACATTGTTTGTTTATGCTAATAAATAAATACTATATAACATTATTAATGAAATGTTTATAGAGACTACATTTTTTATGAACCCGCTCAGACACAATAAAAAATAAACTAATGCTGCAATCACAATTATAAGAAATTGTAAGACTTTTTGACCTTGCAGGGATGTAAACCTTTTGTAGAAACCTTTAACATAGAAAAAAATAGGGACACTTTGTTTACTGCAGCACTGAAACCAAAATAAATAAAGCCTGAAAAAAATCTGAAGTATTACTTGAAAAATTTGCTCTATTAGAAACATAAAAAAACATATCATTTTTAAAAATACATAACTTTTTTGTCATTTTCAGTTTTATGTGGTATAATGAAGAGTACAACAACAAAATAACATGATTTATTTTGTCCTTTTCAGAAAACATGTTTTTCATTACGCAAGAAGGTTGCTGGTTTGAGCCCCGGCTGGGTCACACAGTTCTGTGTGAAGTTTGCATGTTCCCTTCGGTTGGCGTGGGTTTCCTCAAGTTGCTCCGGTTTCCCCCACAGTCCAAAGACATGCACTATAGGTGAATTGAATAAGCTAAAATGGCAGTAGTGTATGAGTGTGAATGTAAGAGTGTATGGGTGTTTCCCAGTACTGGGTTGCGGCTGGAAGGCATCCGCTGAGAAAAACACATGCTGGAATAGTTGGTGATTCATTCTGCTGTGGTGACCCCTGATAAATAAGAGACTACGCTGGATGAAAATGAATGTTTTTTGCGCTGAGCATTGAAGAGCATTAAATTATCATTTCTGAAAAACACTAAAAACTGTAGATTTCTGTTTTTGCTAATTAATTCTTCATATTGAATTTTTAACAATGGAGGTTACATGATTGATGTCCAAAAAACGTGATTTAATTAGCCTTTTCATACAGTTCATTCTAGTCTTTTTATGCTGGAAGAGCATCCTGGCTGGTAAACAAAATGTGCAAAAAATGGGATTATTTATAGGAAATAATTAAAATAACAAAAGCTGTCTCTCTCAAAGGAATCACTCCACATGCTTTTCATTCGCATTTATTTTCCCCCAGACCTGCAGGTATATGCAGCACAACTGACATACTGCATCACAGTTAAACTGCATTTGAATAGGCTCGGATGGTTTTAGCATGTTATATATATAAACTATATGAACTAATTTGCACTTGCATTCTCAACATTATCACATACATTAATCTGTGTCAAACCATGCACGTCATTATAAACATGTACATTAATCTCAGTCACATTATACACACCATGTATATATATATATATATATATATATATATATATATTTTTTTTTTTTTTTGAAGTCACAAAATGCACCTTTTCTGTCACTCATCTATAAATCATGAATATAATGACGTTTTAGAACTGAGATGTTAATGTTAACTCTCTTCTGCTCACCGAGCCTGCATTTATTTGATCCACAACATTGCAAAAACAGTAAAAATGTGAAATATTTCTTACCTTTTAAAATGACTGTTTTACTAATGGGCTATATGCACAGCTAGTGTTTTCAGTCAATGATGAACTTCCGTTAAGAGCTTTATGTAACTATTTTCAATTTCCATAAGGTTCCTTTTACAGCATCGATGTTGTAATGTAATTCAACTATAATCAGTTAAATAGACTTGAGTATGCATTTTGGTTCTTAAAGTATAAAAAGAGACGAAAGACGCCATCATTAGCAGCAGGCTAGAGCAAAAGTTCCATTAAAATATGAAAATTAATTATACTGCAGTATTTTCGAAGACATGGCATGGAAAAATATAATTTAATGCAGTGCTTCTTGTTTGGTCTGATACACACTCTATATCTTATCTCAGCCAGGCAGTGAAGATCACTGTTTTTTTTTAAATAAAACAGATCTTAAACGCAGAGATTTTATATGGGATGACTATTAACCGGAAGCCCTGGGGCTGGCTGACTGAAATGAAAAATCTGTGTGCATATACCCCATTTAATAGATAATAAAATGTAATTTACTGTATTATTTCTGTGATTTCAAGGTTGAATTTTAAGCATTCTAACAAGTGTCACACTGTAAAAATAATCCGTAAATTAAC